GTTTATGAATGCGAGTTGTGGAGTCGACCTTTAGTGGAGGAACTTACGGGAACGGACAAAGGGCCGCCATTACAATATATGATAAAAGCATGGTTCAAGACGGATAAAAATGATTTTAAACAGTAAGAATGCTTTGCAATTGATGTCAATTATATCGATTTGCTTTTTTTTACTTTTTTTCGCTATAAGCTTCTTGTTCACGCACGCGCCTGCAGTATTTTCGAGATCATCAAACGTTATACATCTCGGAAATTGTCTGTTTGCGATCGACCGAACAATCGCAATACAAGAATTCGCCTAAGTAAGCTAACCTTGAGATATAATAAAGGTTGTTTTCTTTTAGATATCCCGAGCAGATATCCGACAATGTCGACGTTGTCCATTCTTGTATATGGTTTTACATTGAGGGATATCTTAAAATTCCACCTAAGCCGCCCTCATACATGTTTGTGAAAATAAGGCCAACTGGATATGACAATTTTATTGATATTCCACGTGATCACTTGTACTGGAGTTTACCAGGTAATGGCACTTTTAATATACTTGATGTATACTTCTTATCAATGCAACTGACGATATGATTTTTAATTTGATTCTATTGAAGGCAAGAGATCTTTTAATGTTGCTCTAACAAATACTCGGAACAAGACTTTGGAGGTGAACTATGGATCTAAGTTCAGCATAAAAGGTGAGTTTTTGACAAACTAAGTTGAGCAAGGGGTTCCTTTCTAGCTTGCGATGCGAGAAATTAAGCGCAAGGATTAAAACAAACACAAGCGTGAAAAAACTAAGAACAGCTTGAGATTGCACATTTCCAAGAAACTAAATGGGTTCAAAAACAACCTTTTATGGTGTATGAATAAGATCAGAAGTACATAACATGCATGATAATAAACATATNTTCTCCATTTACCGGGAAGATTAATAGATACGGCAATGGGACTTTTTACTGCACTACAATTGATAGATAGAGGGCTCGAAATGATTCTCCTTTTAGGACTTTAGATTTTTAGAACTTTGCCTTTACCATTTGATCAAATGTTGCTGACTACCGACGGAACGAGATGACACAGAAAGCTCTCAACACTGGAAAAAAATCGCGCGTTTTAAAGGTTGTACATTTGATTTTAATATGATGTAAGTGTCCAAAATTCTGTAAATTTAATGGAAATCATTTACATCAAATGATTTACAGAATTTTGGACACTTACATCATATTTACAACCTTTACCAGCGCGCGATTTTTTCCAGTGCAACACTATAAAGTTTAAGTTGGGTTGGAGGGGTAAGGGTTGTGTGTGCTTTGGGGATGGGGGAGTCAATTTTGGTGAGTAGCGTTACTAAAATTTGTCAACCATTTTTTTTCCCTAGATCATTATCTAACAATGAAAACTATATTTTCAACTATACTTTGCCATTTCCTTTAGCCGAAGGAGCGGTGTACTTCAACTCGTCAGGACTATCGCGTATGACTTCACCAAACGTGTCACCTCGCAATGAAAATATAAAGTTGTGTTTGGAATTTGAATATCTAATGCCTGTTAACGCTCCAACTTGTCAATTATCAGTCAGTTTTCATTCAAGAATATACTGGCTGCTTCAGGGTTACCATGGTGATTCCTGGAATCATGCCAGTGTYTCTTATGAGGATGGCTCGAAAAAATTTAAGGTGTGTGACATGATATTCATTRCAGGCGCTGTGTGATTGGATCAGTACTCATCCTATAAAGTTCCTGTTTAATCGCACAAAAAAAAACTCCTTTACGACACGTTTTGAAGATTTTCCACCTCTGCGGGCGTTTCCAAGACTTCCTGCAGACGGTCGGACAAGTGTGCGAACGCCGTCCGAACTCATAAAAAGTTATTTACGGTCCGAATACAACTGCCATTTCCGTTTACGTTTGATGTGACTCGAGTGTGAACTCATGAATACTCCTCGTTTTTTCAGGTTGAATTTGTTGGAAATTCCACCAAAACAGACTGCAAGGTATATCTTCGTAATGTGAAAATGACCACCAAAGTTTGCGCTATTAAACCTGTTTTTGCATTTCCTGGTAAGGGATCAATTAGAGCGGATTTCGTATGAGTGGGAAACGGACGGTACTGTACTGTGACCGTAATGGTACTGTAGCCAAATTCTAGTGTCCCTTTGGATCACCAAAATTGTGCAGGCCAGGTGCGGTAACTATGCGGTAACCGTGCGGTAACGGTGTCCCACTCATACGAAATCCGCTCTATTAGGATAATCTTGCTTCTTAAACGTTTTTCATTATTCCAAACTGTGATACAATTATAATTAACATTTGACGTCTTTGTAAACTGCTTTCTCTTAAAAAGGATAAAATTGTAGTTTTTTGAGGTCATTATTAACTTTTTCAAGTTAAAAGTCTTTCGATCGATTAACTGATTTATCTCTAAAATAGGCCATAATTGTAGCAAAGGAGAGCTGATGTGTTCAAACGGCGTTTGTTWTCCCTACTCCCTGCGTTGTAACGGTAAAGTCGATGGTTGTTCAGACGRGTCGGACGAGAGTGGCTGTGCTTGTCGCTCTGACGACTTCAAATGTTCAGATGGAAAATGCCTTTCAACGTCTAAACTTTGTGACGGCAACAAAGAYTGTAAAAATGGAATGGACGAGAAGAATTGCGGTAAGACCGGACTTTTAATACCTTTCGTGTTTGTTATTAGTATTCTAATCTTGTTCAACTTTATGCGTTTTCGTAGCGTTTTCGTAGCGTTTCCGTATCTTCAGCGCGGTCATCATGGAAACGAAARAAGTGCAAAACAATTTAAAAACGCAATATCGCGAACGAGACCTTTGTTTGGAATCATTCACTGCATTGTCAGTTGAAACAAAAATGGGGCCTGATGGACTCTTTGGTGATGAGCTGTCCTAGGAATTCAGTCGATTCAAACAACTGATCGATTCTCATTGATACAATTATTGATRATATAATACATGAGAAAAATATAACAAGATCATAGATATTTTTAGTGTCTACAAAGGCTGTAATAATACGATTCCTGTTAAATTCCCATAGAGAAAGGATGCCAAGGTGCATTGTGCGCCAGTGGAAACTGTAACTCGATATCTTCTGTGTGTTCAAGAAAAGTCCAATCTACTTCAGGTATTAGATATACTTAGAACCAGAATAAACCAAATGCGGTCCAAATCATGATCTGTATATAAATATGGCCATGACTCATAATCAATAATATTTAGTAGATCCATTCGCTGCACGATACGATCTGAAGTTAATCTTTTTTACGACATGTTGCGGTAAGTTTACTCAGTTTTGATGTATTTCATATCCTCGCAGATCCTTGCTTTGTTCCCGAGACTGAATGCTTGCTGGAAGAAATTGGAAGAMTTGATTATGAAGTTTGCAATGRTTTACATGGTATTGTAGCCCTTATTAAAACACGTCAATAAGCTTTCGTGTTCCAGTTTATCAGAGAAGATTTGCTCAGAATTAATCATATAAACATTCTGTCAAACCTTTCGATAGGTAAATGTGGTTTTGAGGAGAGCCAGTGTTCATTACAAAGTTATAATAATTCCTGGGTGAGAACAACTGCAAAAGCCTCAATGGTGTCGTCAGTACTTGGAAATGACCACACAAAACTATCTTCAGAAGGTGAGATTAGTATAGACAAACCATGTAAAACTAGCCACATAGACAACACATAGTGTCCTTTCTTCCTTTTTTTCCTCCTCCTCCCTCTTGTCGTTCTTGTCGTTCTTGTTATTTTTGTCCTTTTTGTTCCTCTTGTTCCTCTTGTTCTTCTTGTTCTTCTTGTTCTTGTTCTTTCTTGTTCTTCTTGCACTTCTTGTTCTTCTTGTTCTTTCTTGTTCTTCTTGTCCTTTTTGTTCCTCTTGTTCTTCTTGTTCTTCTTGTCCTTCTTGTTCTTCTTGTTCTTCTTGTTCTTTCTTGTTCTTTCTTGTTCTTCTTGTCCTTTTTGTTCCTTTTGTTCTTCTTGTTCTTCTTGTTCTTCTTGTTCTTCTTGTTCTTCTTGTTCTTCTTGTTCTTCTTGTTCTTCTTGTTCTTCTTGTTCTTCTTGTTCTTCTTGTTCTTCTTGTTCTTCTTGTTCTTCTTGTTCTTCCGTCTTCTTCTTCGTACCTAATATCTTGCGTTTCTAGGACACTATATGTACTTCAGTCAAACCAAAAGCAATTCAAATGCCGAGACAATGACAGGACGAATGAAACGAACTGTTGGTAACGCCACAAGCTGCTTGCAATTTTGGTACGTTATACATGGATCTGCGTCACTTAAAATCTTCACGGCWASCAACTTATCGGAAAAGCTTTCGTGGGAACATGGAGAAARYACTGATCGAAAATGGGTATTTGGACAGACGGYCATTTTAGGAGGWCAATTTGACGTGAGTTTTGAATGCTTCCATTTAGAAATGATATTTCACTCAACTTTCTAKATGGCAGCTTGAAGGCTCTTTTGATTTTTATTCCTTCTTATAAAACTTCAATTTGAATTGTTTCAGTTAATTTTTGAAGCATCAACAAAAACTGAGAAAAGTTTCGTGGCGTTAGATGATGTGAGTTATTCGTCGTCGATAAAGAGGTGTTCCACCATCCATTACAAAGGTAATGGAATTTGTACTTAAAATTTTCAGAAAATGACTGCAAAAAATGCTTTTAATCTATTCGTGTTTTCGAATTTTCAATTTATAATTTCAATATTCTTCTGTCCCTAGCTCSGCCTCATTGTTCATTTGGAGATGGCAAATGCAGTTGGACAGGACACGAAGACTGGAAAATGAAACAGAGTAGGTCGATACCAAACAAGAAATCCTTGATTACCAAATAATGTCGGTCATTCTAGCGAAATGCCTGGATGGTCCTAACGCCAAATATGTTTGAAGAAATATCCAATAGCGTTGGATAATCTATTCATTCCCTAAACCTAAACCCTTGAACCTTTGAACATTCTTCCATTTGTCCTTGTTTGAATAATCCTCCAAACATTCCCAAACAAATCACAATGAAGCATCTTTTCGTATCTTGATTAGTTGGATTAGTCTGCATTATTTTTATTTTTATTTTTTTCATTTTTTATTTTATTATATTTTTTCATTTTTATTATTTTTGGCGTTTGACACTGGGAAATTTTTTTGATAATCTGACAATGCTGAATCTTTCTTGAAGAATGTTAGATGGGTKATAAAACATTTAGTACGACTTTAACTTTATCTATTTTTGAACTTTGCAATCAGATCAAGCAATGAAACGTCCARTGTTAAGCCTTACTGGAGGAGTCTCAAYACATCGCAGTATTTCAAGCCCAGTTTTTAACCCTGTTAAAGATGGTTGGCATTGTGTCACRTTCTKGTTAATAAGCACCAAACGKCTTTACCACCGAGAATTTCAAGTGTTGTTGACGGACAGCAATGGAGCTGTTGTGAAGTCGATGTGGATTTATAAAGCAATAGTACAGAATGTTTCCTATGTTCAGTTACCTTTATCACAGATCAATGATAATGTTAAGGTATGGYATACATATTATATGTTGAATGATAGACGTCAAAGTAGCCTCGTCTGAAGGACAAAACAAGGGATTTTCTCCCTTTTGCAAACCAGAATCCATTGTTTTGTTCTTCAGTTAGAGTTGAAATCAAACGAACTGCAAGGGGTCTATATTTACGAAATATCTTACCAGACATCTGAGAAACCTGTATTGCCGAACTGCATTGGGCCTGGAAAGAGGGAAAGCCCTAATTTCTCCTCTCCAGCTCCTCAAGGCCCATTTAGTACCTCAGTTTTAAAACCAACGGTCTATTGACCACCGTCAAACTAGGCCTCTTTTGAGCTCGGTCTGTTTTAAATCAAATACAATCTTAATTCGCCAATTTTCGGTAAGATCACCTATTCATGTTAAGAAACTTCTGTGGAAAGGTCTTCTGAACCCTCGGTGCCACTTCAAGAGTGGAAGTGCCTTTTTTACAACAAAGTGAGAGAAACCGTGAGCTTGTAGTACCAGACTTTACTATGATAGCTCGTCTCTGAAAACGGCCCGAACTAATTTTTTTTAGTCCAAGTCATCTTGATCTTTTCTTACATTAACTTTTTGTCCACTCAGGTTCAATTTACAGGGCTTAAACAGCAGGATCAACCAGACCTTGGTGTGTTTAATGTCATGTTTTTAAAAGAAAAATGTTCAACGGTGGAGCGTAAGTATCATCGCATCAAACTCTCTTCAGTTTTATAAGTACATTTCTTTAGGGGATCAACAAGCAAGCAAACTGAAATAGTCCATATTATAAGCCCGCCATTTGTAATAGGTTTGCAATGTGTCATAGATATAAATCTCCCTTTCTTCATAACACTAATTAGTTTCGATTTTTCCACAGACAAAATATGTTTGTTTTCATYTTTGYTTRATTTGCCWAGTAAATGGAAATTCTTGATTAACTGTACATTTTTTGGAGGTTTTTCTTGCTGTATTTCCTATTGCTTGTTAATATTTGTTTGTTTGTTTTTCTCGCAGTATACTTCTGAGATTAACTACAATGTCAACATTTCCCAATATTTTTCGTTAAAACTAAGTCTGCGTCACAAACAACTGGAGCACTGACATCGTTGCTCCCTCGTTTACTCATTTATCAATCCCAAAATGCATTGCATCACAAGGCTTTCCGCGGGCCGCAATAAGGACTATGGCCGCCGCTTCTGCGGATGTTGCGGCACCGAGAAAAATTAAACAAGAAAAAATTGGAAAATTGGAATTATAATAATAAACAATTATCATTTTGCAGCGATTGCCGAGTGTCATGATTACCAAATCCTAAATGGAATCGATCGTCGTGTAGAAAACACTGTGAACTCTGGTAAATGTGACAGCAGTATTAACTTTGCCACTTGGTACAGGATCGCTGGACCTGCAGGAAACCAAATCCCACTTCATTGCGAAACAGGACCCAGCTGCGGAGCACAACTGCCCCTGACTTTAGAGGGAAGGAACCCGTCTTATAAGTACGAACTGGTCAACAATAGCTATTGCTTACCTTCAGGTAGACGTTGCTGTCAGACYAGAGGTTTGGCGAGAGTCCGACATTGTGGGGAATTCTTCGTATACGACAAGATATCAATGAAATGTGATCGMGATTCAAAACAAATTTGTAGCACTTATAAAGAAGGTAAATGCTTGGCTCTACSTTTGTCTTAATTCAATGTAGACTGTCGCTTTTAATGGAACTGAAAGGAAAACTAAAGGACTAATATATTTGAGTAGGCATCATAATAATCCGAAGACAATGTTTCTCATCATGATTCGTCCTTGTAGAAAGTGGCATATCATTGCACATTAAACTTTTGTTTGAATAAGATTAGGACTAAATAATGTAAGCTTTGATAATTAAATACAAAAAAATCTGTKACCTTTAATTCTCAAAATGACGTACCTTTTTAAACAGTTGAACCAGCCTATGACAAAAAGAAAGAGTGGATAAAATGGMAAACTGGAAATGAAGAAACTGATTGGGGATTWTTGAACCGAAGTCATTTTGCAAATGAAGATATTCAAGAATCTTCAGGTACCGTGTTTTAGAATATCTGGCAGGATGTATTAGTACGTCTTTGTTTAATTTCTCATATTATCTTTACTTATAGATTTGTACGAGCTGCACATGTCACGTGATACCATCATCCAATTCTCGACGTCCTATAACACTCGAGAGTTGACTRTGTGCTTATGGGTCAGYCTGCTGACCAATGGTTCTYTGTCAATGCTGTCTCACTCGATCAGTAAGAATTTCGGTTTTGGTTTTGTCTTAACGGACGGATATGTGAAGATAAATATCGGGAATGAAAGCAGGTTAGAWTATATCACTCATATCGGTTACCATTTGTACAATATTCTTGTAGTCTCGTTTTTCAACTGCAAATTTTCCTTCGTTTTCATTGTTCGACCGTCGACCATGTGACGCGATGGTGCCAGGAAGCTCGTTTGCGCTTCGCTCTTGGGCAACTATTCAATTTTTTTGGAACAATGTCACCCAGTTTCCGCGGACAACTTTTATAGCATAACGCCTGAGACTTTTTTAGTTTAGATTTTAAATATTATCAAATAGATTAAATATCATCAATCAAATTTTTWTTTATTTTGAATTATTAATGTTCCCATTGTTTTTTAAAGAACTGTGTCAGTCAAGTTGGACAATAATACGTGGCATCACCTCTGTACCACCTGGATATCAGACTGGGGGGTCTGGCGAGTATATCARGATGGATTTATGATTGATAGTGRATTGAAATTCAGCGATCAAGCTACTCTTGAAGGTGATTGCTTTTATCCGAAATGACATTTGTCACTTAGGGTGCTACACGTATTCTGATTGGCTGAGACCTTTTATTCCATTGGTGGTCACAATTATAAGATTTTCTTCTAAGGCCCACGTGAAACGGAGAACGTTTGCGACCATTTGTTTTGTTTCACAGATGATCTTGCGTTGAAAGTTGCTTTCTTATTTGTTTAAAATCAAAGATGGCGAAGGCTCTCGCATGCACGCGGAAGTACTTCTGACGCGGACGGAAATCTCAGCGAGCTATTTCGTCCATATAATAAAACAAGCGGAAAATGTATCGTCGTGTATCGTTCAGTAACAAATCCCTYTAGACTGAAGATAGCCTGAGTTTCATCCAGTAGAGAATAAACCGGATGTACGCAGGCTAGACTGAAGAGAGGATTCAACTGAAGTCAGAAGAACAACTCGCTCACTCAGTTCAATTGTACAGTTTCAGGTGTCGTGGAACTTCTTGCATCCAGCTTTTCACCAAGTCTTCCATCTAACGGTACTGTGATTAAAATAGCAAGCCTTAACATGTGGACGACAAAACTRAAAGACCAGGACATCGTCCAAATGTCCTATGGATGTAAGATRCACATGCCTCATATTCTTARRAAGAATCCCTTCATTAGCTGGTACGCAATCCTCGCTTTGAATGGTTCTAGTGGTCATAAAGCCCGTGCTTCATGTCTTGGATCGGGTGGTAAGCTTTACATCTGTTTTTATGAATCAGGGCCGCTGGGTTGTTGAACTTAGAGGGAAATAGTAGACAGGCGTCCATTTCCGGCGAGCTTCTAATTATATTTTTTTCTGAAGAAAATTACATTACGTAATAGCAAAAATTTACTCTTTATTATTCTTTTATGATATATAAATGGAGATACTGTAAGATTCGACCTTTAAACCGACCGATATGAACGGATTTGCGAATTGATATTTGAAGTCACTTTATTCCTATATGAAAAATTCAAAACACGACCGCATTGAATGCTGGTGGACCATGTCCCTTTAATGADCTATAATGTTAGCTATTTTTACCCCAAGTGAACTGCCCATCTTACCAAAACATAATCAATCTTTATCACAGGTGCAGCAATGGTTCTGAGAAACAACCGCACTCAACAAGGCACGTCTGGTACACTATACAGTTCCTGGTTTAATCACTCAACAGACTCCAACAAAGAGTGCCTTAGGTTTAGATTCAAAATGTCTCACGTGGGCAAACCAAGCCTGTTTATTTACCATAGCCTTAACCTTGCTCAGTCGAAAGACGTATTGATATGGAGTCAAAGTAAAACAAATTCGTCCAATGCTTGGTTGTTTGGACAGGTCGCCATAACTACTTTATCTAATTTCAAGGTAGGTTTTAAACGGAGTGGAGTTTGTTTTGTAGGGTTGGGGCATGGTGAGAATAGGTAGAAAATCTTTGTTGTAAAATGCGTGTATACTAAATAGTCAATATAACCGTAAGACACCTTGAAAATTTGAAGCGCGTTTAGAATATTGGAATCCACAGAAAGAGAGTTTATGTCTCACAAGAGAATTATTTCAAACACAGCTCCACGCAAATGCGCGCGATGTATCAGATCACTTGCACCTCGTACTTGTAAATAGAGGTTTCAACCAGTAGTTGGGCTGCCTGTGACCAGTCACGTTATACTAGTTGCATAGTTCATCATCTCGCAGTTCAATTTTCTTTTAGATCACTATAAAAGGGGAATTAGAGAACGTTGGTTATATAGCTATTGGAGGAGTTTATGTGACGCGCGATATGGAGGGCTGTGCTACAATTCCTATTGAAGATAGCCAATTTGGTCCCAACGCAGGTTTGTTGCTCAGTTGTCGGAAATAATCAAAATTTTATTTTCTGCTCGTAATCATAACTTCTCATGAATGAAAATCAATAGTAAGAACAAACTATTGTTGTACACATCTCAAGGACATGATAAAGACTTTTATTCTTAACATGCTCTGACAATTTTATAATGTTGTAAACCTCTGCAAGTTTATATAGTGTAACCTTTTATTAATTTCATGGAAACATGTCCGTGCTCTTTTAACAGTTTTTATGGCGAAGARTCCTTCCTTTTCTATTAATATATTTTCGTCTTCCATTTAGAATGCTTGAGTCTCACAAGCCAAGAAGGCCAGATTASAACACCACACTACCCGGCCCCTTACGAACAAAAGTTTTCTCAATGCTGGTACATAGAGGCTAAAATAGGACAGGTTATACTACTAGACTTCAAAGCATTTGACTTAAACTACGAAAARGTTTGCTCCAAAGACTACCTGGATGTATTTGAGATGAAGGAGYCTGGAGATRATGAGAAATATGTTCGCCTGGGAAGATATTGTGGGGCTATATATCCGACATTTTTAGTATCTTCAAGAAATGTTATGAAATTGTTTTTTAAGTCCGCTGGAGGGACATACAATGGTGGATTCAAGATCGAGTATTCAGTAATGAAAGGTGAGTAAGCGTGACAAAAGGCCGTCTATTTTCAATAAATAACAGTAACTATGGTCATTCACAATACAAYAGAACATGCTTTRCCGTGAARCCGCGTTMTAAAACTCTAGCTACTTTTTGTTTTTAGAAAATCGAAGTAAAAACTGCATTAAAGGTAAGTTCTCCGTTATGATTTGTAATTCACTGGAAATGACCAAGAACACCGATTGTTTRTTTTRTTTCATGTTTTGAGACATGAAAATATAAGGTARAAGAMACTGGTCTTAATATTGATGTAACCGTTGTCAATATTTTGTTTTGTTGTTATAGAATGTCCRTCAGCGTGCAAATGTGTTCGTTATAAGRGTGATTTAATCATACATGCAAAAACTTTATACTCCATGCCACAATATTACCCAGAAGGAACCACAATCATGTACGTACGCAATCGCGACTCTTGACAACTGAACAATAGAGTTCTGAAGTTTTTACGTCAACAACTTGATTTGCAATGAATTGTGGGATGGGTTTCTGAAAAAAAAAAAGAAATCCGCCATTTTGGCCCAAACATATCCTCCAATCAATGCATTGCCGGTATACGATATATATGACGTAAAAGCTTCAGAGTTCTATTATATACAATTAGGTAGTGATTTTTCTTCTAATGATTTAAACGTCTTTCAGTGATTTTGCTGGCAACAACATTTACGAGCTAAAGGAACTCGACCTTTTGTATCTTCCCTCGATCAAATATTTGTGAGTATCATCACTTTTCATCAGATGTCTTCCCTATAAAATTCCTATAAYCATAAAATCATCAAATTCTCCATTTTTTCCGTCATTAAACTTTATAAGAACAGCCATTATTTTCTCAGAAACTTGGAGAGAAACAAGATTCTTCGAATTCTGGACGAAACGTTTGATAACAATCAAGAACTGCGGTACTTGTAAGTTATTTCACAACTTCAATTTTCTTATTTCAGGAATTAAAAACACTTCGCCTTCTACTGGACTTAGTGAAAAGTAAAATGAACGTTCTTCCATTCTTTRTTTGTTAGGATTCTTGGAAACAACTTTCTGAAATCGGTTGGCAAAGAACTGTTCAGCAAACTGCCAAAACTTTTATTGCTGTAAGGATATTTGTTTAATGATTGTTATGTCTTTGGTAACATAACATAATATTAATTTACCAGTCATAATTCTGCATTTTGCAATACYTTCAATGAAATAATTTAATCTTGGATTTCTTCTATGTAGTGATTTGCAGAGGAACCTGATTTCAGATTTAGCGACGCCAGTATTTGAAGATCTGAAAAACCTGGAAATCTTGTAAGAATTTATTCTAATTTGAATTTGTGACTTTCAATGAAAATGAATAATGTTTTATTCAGTTTTTAATAAACATGTTGTGATTTTAGATATATGAATGGAAACCTTTTAGAAAGTCTTTCAAGAGACTTATTTAACAACAACAAAGCTCTTAAACAACTGTGAGTTGTGTCTCGCTAAATATAACATAAAGCATTTAATTTATACGTCTAACCCTAGAAATATTCAGTATTGTTTGCAGTAGGTCCGTTGCTGGTACACTACAATTTTCCCAAGCAATGTTTTTTTTTGGCGGCGTAAGCTAGGACTACTAAAAGCCAGAATCAAAATGGCGGACATCATTCTCGTGCCATGAGCACTATGGGCGGACGCGGCGAAAAGCAAAATTGCGCATGCTCCTCTCACAGCGTTGTGACAGGAAACGTTCCAGGAGGGGTGATACAGTAGATTTCTCCTTCATACAACGTTACAAGCAACAAAAAAGCTGCGAGAGATCAGGCAACTAATCCAACAACAACAACAACTTAACAGTTTAATGTTTTAGTATAGTTTGCTACGTATTTTGTTTGTTTTTAGCTAGTGTTTCAGGGTTTACGCGTGTCAACACTAATACATCGGATGTTACTCTAGTTAAACTTTGACTCTAACCGACTCATTTTATTCAAGGTGTTTACAAGAAAATAGCATCAACGTCATTCCAACGGGATTATTCACAATGCAAAGCCAACTGAAAATATTGTAAGAAACATAACAGTTGAAAATATCAATWCATTTCATTCCTATATTAGAATGAATTCTAAAAACCCGTGAAACAGTTATCGAAATAGTTTCCGGTACATTACTGACTGGTTTTCGTTCTGTTTCTGATATTATCATTGTAGAATGTTACTCGCTTGAGTAAMAATTACTGGTTTCGTTTACTTTTCATCGTGTTTTTTGTGATTTTCTTTAGGAATATCAGCAGCAATAAAATCACAAGAATAGACGAGGATACCTTCCAAGGCCTACGTTCCCTAAAAACACTGTAAGTGCGTGAATTTTTGATATTATTGTTTGTATTACCATTCCACAAAATTCACACATAATTTTTTACAAACATCAAGCAGAAATTAAGGTGGTTCATTCTTATATAAACAGAACTCAATATGCTGCATTTTKAAAGAACATGTGTCCCCTAATTCTCTTCTATAAAATGATGAAATTGTTTTGATMATCTTGTCTTTAGTTATCTACAGAACAACGAAATAAAAGAATCAGATGTGAGCCAGGCTGCCTTCAGACATCTATCCAATCTCAAATACCTGTAAGAAATCTGTTGCTTAAWCTTTCATCACTTATTGTGGTCGTTTCCCATAACGACGTCATGTTTTTCTTGACGAAGTGCATCATGGTATTGGCACAAAAATATCAAGATGGCGGACGTCTCATAAAACCTACGGCGAAGACGAAGTTTCTCTTCAAAATTAACCCATCCGTCGTCGAGAAAGCTTAGGAAAAACATTGAATAWAATTTGTGTTCAATAAAGAATGCTCCGAAGTATTCTCGGCAACGGGCATATTGTTCATATTGCAAAGAAACCTTATTCTTCATCATGATAATTCGTAGGTTTTATAAAGACATCCGCCATATTGGTACTTTAAATACCATGATGCATTTCGCACAGTAACATGACGTCATTACAGGAAAAGAGCATTCTAAAGAATGATATTATTGGTTTTTCAGTGAGGTTGACAGCTTTGTTATATGCTGCTATGCAAAGCAATATAACCCCCAGGTCAAGTGCATATCACCTCGAAACGACCTCTCAAGCTGTGAAGATCTGCTAAAGAACCCTGCTCTTAGTGTCTTTATTTGGATCCTAGGCCTATTGGCGCTGCTTGGAAACATATGGGTCATAATATTCTGGAACCGAATGGCACAAATTGACCGCGGGGAGCGTGGAAAGAAGTCACGTGTCCAGTCGTTTCTGCTAACAAATCTAGCGATATCAGACTTCTTAATGGGTGTCTATCTGATAATTATTGCATCTCATGACGTCAAATGGGATGGTGTCTACTTCAAACATGACGTCAAATGGCGATCTAGTGCCATGTGTAATTTTGCAGGCGCATTATCCATGATTGCGAGYGAGGTCTCGGTCCTTACTTTGACTACGATCACCGCTGATAGGCTAAACAGCATTGTATTCCATATAAGGGCAAAGCCATTCACCATGGTAGCAGCTCGTATGGTGTGTGTTTTCATATGGATTTTTACAGTATTGATAAGCTTGGTTCCTATTATTGCGGTGGACAACTTTGAAGACAAGATACGAGGCATTACTTTTTACGGCCGATCGTCTGTWTGTTTACCACTACAACTATCCAAAACACGTCCTCCTGGATACGAGTATGCYATCGCCATCTACATCGCTTTGAACGGCTTTGCATTCGTWTTCATCCTACTTTCTTACATCGCAATTTTCATCAAAGTTAAGATGTCTTCGAAAGCTGTGCGTTCTAATATAAACAAAGACTCTGCTTTGGCACGACGAGTCACACTGATCGTACTGACGGATTTCCTCTGCTGGATGCCCGTTGCTATCATAGGGTGTTTATCACTGACRACTGGTTTTAATGATCCCGATGGCGAGGTGTACGCATGGATAGCTGTTTTTGTGYTACCTATAAATTCGTCTATCAATCCAATTCTTTACACTTTCTCCAACCAACAATTTAGAAAGTTTTTTACCGAGAAAACATGCTGTAATTKGCAAGCATTAAAAAGTGAGTAGGAGAAATTTTGTTGTTGTTATTCTTGTTCAAAATATCTGTTTATGGTTTGATTTATTAATGTGTGCAGCGACACCATTTTGTACAGCAACGCATGATGGGGGTTGTGGTCCTTGTACTTTTTATAGACTCTAAAGATATCTCCCTGAAAACCGTTTTGCATTTTTGTAAAAACAGCACAACYTCTTCTAGTTTTACAAAAAGAAAATGAAAGAGCGGCTTAGCRTGAGGAGTCTTTTACCGAACGTGAAAAAGTTAGAGGACTTAGTACTGACTCCCGTCATGCTTTGCTGCACAAAATGGCGTCGCTGCACATTGCCTATTCTCCATGTCATGGTGTCAGCGTCAGCGTRCAACAATTTTTGAATGTTGTACACTCTGACGTCACACATCACTCAATAATGCCTCATGTGTAATTAAATATTTAACCTCACAAACGAGAAATTTACCGAGAAATAATATTTATAATTGTTCTTGTTATTTTTTTCGTGAATTTGTTAAATATCACAAACGTCATTTGTTTGACTCAGTAGCACCGTCAAAAGAAAAAGATACCAATGAACTAAATCCTATGGATCAGAGTCAAACTGGCGCGACAGGTCAAACATCTATCAAGACACCAGAGGTTAGTCATTGTCACTTCCTGTGTCACACTTACAGATTTACCAAGTCCTTTTAAACCTTTTTCACTGCGACGCAATCAAAAGCAAACACAGAAAACTGAAAAAAAATCCGACAGGAATGAAGTTAATACTGTACTTTGATCTTCTTCAAGTCCGTCAGTGACAGGTTTCMGTTCTTTACTTTGCTTTCTTGAAATTTCCATGAAATTTGTACACAAAGAAAAACGCAGAAATCCAARCTTTAGTGAGGATTGGCAGGTTGCAGACTCGTACCCAGTCGTTTCTCTTGCTCGATGTACGGGTCGCGGTGCATCAAGGGAAGTCCGATTTTCTTTCGACTTCCCTTGATCCTTCGCGCGCGCCATAGAAGTAAAGAGTAACGACTGGATACGAGTCTGCCTCGTGCCGCATTTCGTCAGTGTTGCTGTCATTTCCTAAAGGACGAAGATTAATAGTTTTAGCTAATTCATGTTATTTTTCTCACAAGCTCTCTAGATATCGCCGATTTAATAACGAGACYAAAGAAGAAAAAGGAAGTTACGAAACTCGTCTCTGAAGATTCCACAAAGCGACAATTCATTTACACATTTTTGGTTTGCTTACGTGCCGAAGTACGTGGTTTCAAGGCACATATCATAGATGCAGATATTTCCAGCTATTATCCGTGACCAATAGAACTTAAAGATTATGAACCTATAACTGTTTTTGTGTACAATTTTATAAGAAATATTTATATTATTATTTGAGCAATAAAAAATGGACAGTCGTAGTTTGTGAGACCATTGTGAAGCACGCTTTCTCCTAAAGTTTGCGCTGGAGAGCGAAATAAATTCCGACCTTTGACCAATCAGATTGCGCGCAAATACAAAGCTAAAACATCATTTAGTTTATTTTCATTATGCTGATTCTCTTTTTTTGTATATAATTTATCGCGATAGATTTTCTAAAGAATTTCGTGTTCTTTGTCCAGTTTTTAAGAAAAAGTATTTTTTTCGCCAAAACTGTTGACCTCTCATCTCTCAATAGTCCATAATAAATAAATAATGAGTTTTTCAAGTTGTCAAGTCGCTAATCACAGGTGCACTGGCCTGTACCAAAGAATATTTCTAGATGATGACAGACATAACATTTATCAGGAAGAGACAAAACACTGACACGATGAAAATGCTGCTCTGTGTTGGGATCGTCATGACGCTCGCTACATGTAAGTTTTGACAGGAATTAAGTTACTTTTTTTGACGATTTGTTTGCACTTGTTTTAGAAGATAATAGTCAAATTGAGAAAGGTCGTTAAAGACGTTGTTATGCTAKTGATGTTTATGTTCTTTAGCCCTGTWARYTTACAAATTMTGTTTGATTRTTGTATTAATTGTACAAGTTTGTTTTGAGTGAACTTCAAGTGGGACACGCGCGTATAGTCTGTACGTACGTCGGACATTACAAACGCTAAATCAATACTATGTACACCACTTGAAACGGAATTGAAATCCTGCTCACTTTCACTGATTTACGTTTTAAATTGTTAAAGCACCTCTAAATGGTGACTAAACTTTCCACACCTTTTATGTTTATAAGCTGTTTCTACGCTGTGGTCAAAAACAGTGACGGAAGGTCTACGACCAAATATACGAGAACTATATGGCTGAAGTAAACTACTGTTTTTGCACAACTTGTTCTTTGATACCTGAATCCTACTCGCTAAATACGATCTTTTGGGCAACCAATATTTACTACTTCAATTCAATATCATTATTTCCAGGATAACGTGTTCTATTTGACATGTGGCAACTGATAGAACGGGTTTTATACTGTTGGTGGTTTGATAATTGGAGTAGCAGGTCATTGTTGTGAACGATGTCCKTCACAATTCTCASMGCCGTCTTGAAAAGCCATGCAAGTCCCATAYTTATATAGTMATGTCACTCTTGCATTTACAGTGGTGACACTAATGCGAGCGCACAGAATGCCGGGTTTTCAGCAGCCGCTAAGTTGATACACAGTTATCATCACGTGTCATCGTTATCAAAGTCAATTACCTTTCAGATGCGCGCGCGAGATCAGAGCCGATTGGTGTTCCAGCAGATCCAAGTTGTGTTCTGGATATGAATCCTGGTATAGTTGTAGAGAACTATACCGCGCCGCGRTACTATTACGACAGACACACAGCGACATGTAAGCTGTTTAAATACGGTGGKTGTGGAGGAAATCCTAACAACTTTGCTACTGAAGACGACTGTCTTAAGAGATGTCTACCGAGACCGTGCGTCTGTAAGTATTGCTTCAAAATCCAACATAATATTCGGTTGRTATCCTGCATTTCAATCCTTGAAAAGCGTACAGTACTTTTAAGTCAAACGTTTTGATTGGAGCTCGCTCCGCTTTTACTCAGCCCTCAGTACTCAGCCCTCAGTTCAAGATATTCAACATGGAACGTTTGGATAAACATAAAGAAAAGGCGGGAACAATTATTTAATGACGTACTTCAGTAATAGACCTTTTCTGAAATATAAAATCATGGTGCATTGTGGTCTTACTTCAGCACAAACAACCCCATATTTGGCAGCATGAACGCAAAAAATGTTTGTACTGAACCTAGACCAGTCCACAATGCAATGCAAACTGCTATCTCAGAAAAGGCCTATGGGGACCTAAAGCACCAATTTATCTCGACATAATTTAATGATTAAGTTGATTTGTATTTAGCCCCACCTGTTGTTAAGCCAATCAACCCTATCTGCTATTTACCGAAATCCATTGGCGTCGGTAACGCTGGGCATCTTCCACGATAYTACTTCAACACAGCCACAGGGAAGTGTGAACTGTTCTGTTATAGTGGCTGTAATGGAAATGCTAACAATTTTTACTCAAAAGCGCAATGCGAGCAAACATGTCTTGGGTGCGCAACAAGTAAGTGTACATTACACGGTTTTACTTGCGTAGCAGTCCAGTAGTTAGTATTCCATCAGCATGGAAGAAGTACCCCCTTAAACTATTTCAAAGTGAGCGTAAAAGCACAAGTGATGCAATGATATTTACAAACAACACAACACTTTTAAATTTCAAATACATGTTTCGACTTTCAGAAAGCTTAAACTAATTTTCTTGAAATTTCGAAACTGACTGTACTTTATTTTGCAAAACGTACTGGAAACTGCCAGCCCCCTTAAATTGCGAAAACCCGAAACTGACTTCCCCCATAAATTTGCAAAAATCGGAAGTGACTGAGCCTTTAATTTGCATGCTCATACAGGTGAATTTTATGATCAGCCACGGGATGATGCTTGCCCCACTCTAAACCACAAGSCTCAAAGTTGTTAAACGGTAAGGTTGCATATAAGATATAAATTTCTTCTAAGTTTATACCAATTCTCTGAGTTGATCGTACGAGTCGTTGTTGAAGTGTTTTATGCTAGTCTCTCCTTGCAGCCGTGTTTAGTTTTGGTCACGCGTCACGTAGTTTTAGTCAAGAGTGTGTGTTCAAGACTAAGTTTTTTATTTCTATTTTAGAAAAGCCGACAGAACCGAGGATGAAACGACATCAAATCAAATCTGTTAATTTGCTTCAGCCATTGATGATTTGTAATTTTCAGTGATTGTTGAGTGTATACTCGCTGGGGGATCCCCCTGACATACCAAGGCAAAATGCAGGGACAAAAGCATTAACATTCAAAAAAWTCAAGCACAGGAAAAGTTATCATAACCTCAGAGTTGACATATCAACTTAAAGCTTACAACATCAGCTTCATTTTTAATGCAATTATTTAGATGAGATTTACATGTTACCATAGTAACCAGGAGTAATGCTTCAAAAAATATCAGGGTGAAAAATAAAAACTAATATAAACCTCACACACTAACAGACTTTTAATGTGCTGTTGTTTACAGGTAAAATGAAATAAGCTATCTTTATCTCAATATAAACAGATAGAAATAGTGAAAATATGTAGTAACTATACAGAAATGGAAAAAAATTACAATTCAAAACTTAGCCAGAGGCTAAAATGTTAAAAAGTGACATATGCTTGTTATAAAAATATCTAAAATTGCACTTTACAATACTTTTTCTTGACAAATGTTTTTTCTATATATTTTCCAGATGTAAGTACAGTGAAAAGTACTTATAAACAAGTCGGCACTTGCATGTTGCTATGGAAACAGCCTGTCAAATTATTAGAAACATATCAAAAATACATACTCGGGGACTCTTTTTCAGTAGTAATTTTACAACATGAGTCACAAAACAAAGAAAATTATAGACAATTAAATATGCAATTTTGAATTTCCTATGTCTTCCTTTTCTTTGTTTTGTGATCGAGCTGATCAAAACATGTAAAATGTACTCCCACAGCACAACCTTCACACTCTGTACGACTTCTTCTTCTACCCCTGGGAACATCACGTCTAGAACAGACAACACAGTCTCTCTCTTTCTTGTCATCAAGCTGTTTGATCTTGTGCTTGGGTGCTTGTGGTGACTTAGTTTTGTCTGTACATGTGCTGTCACATAGCTCTTCTACTACAGATGAAATAAACTTAAATCTTGACATTGGTGGCCTGTCAGAGGTGTTTGCCTGGTAAAGAATGTACGCACAGACGAGCATCCTGTCAATCATTGCAAAGAAGCACTTCTTCCAGTATTTGTGGAAAGCTCTCTCTGCAGCATAAAAATCGACCTTCTGGTCTAGGGTATCAACACCTCCCATGTGCTTGTTGTATTCAGACACAATATGTGGTTTGGTCTTGGTACCACCCCATCTGACTTGATGGTCAACCATTCCAGGAGGAAGACCAGTGGATAACATGATGCAAGGTTTCTTCTGAGATGCCTTCTCTTTCCAGGTAAGTACAAGAGTGTTTTTATTTCTAGCGTACAAACACTCTTGCACTTTTGGCTTGGATTCTTTGATCATCTTAGGAATTCCCTTAGAACTAGTGGACCTCATAGTGCCAGTTAACATGACTTCTTGTATTCGGCAAGGGTTACGCTAGTGTAAAAGTTATCAACAAACAGATGATAACCCTTATTAGCTAAGCCTGATGCCTGCACTAGCCTGTCTACAACATCAAAGGCATAGGCCATGGTCTGAGGCTGGAACTTTCCCCCTTTTCCCACAGTACACTATTGTGTGCAAAGGAAAACCTGTACGTGACTCAGTGACTGAGTAAAGCTTCACTCCCCATTTATGATGGTGTTTGTTAGGGATATATTGAATCAGCTGAGTCTGGTTCTTCATGCCTATTAGGCTCTCATCTATAGAAACATGTTGTTCAGGAACATAAGTACCTTTTACAAGCTTCATTTAGACTATCAAGAAGTAATCTAAACTTACATAGAGGATCATAATTAGGGGAGTCTCGTCTAGGTTGATCAGAATCGTTGTCACTACAGTGCAAAAACTTGGCTATTATCTGGAAATTATTCCTTGACATAACTTTAGAGAAAAATGGAGTAGATGTGCTTTGGTGTTTGGTATCCCAGTACATTGTTAGATCTTTTTTAACAACGAGTCCCATGTTGATAACCAGTCCCAGAAATTTTTTCAACATCGAAACATCAAAGTTCAAACGCCTCCATTTGACGGTACGAACAGATAAGGGTTTGCCCTGAGCTATGATATTGTTGATGCGGTCAGCATACTTTCTGGTCTCACTCACAATCTTTCTTAGCACCTCAGGAGTCAAAAACAAGGAAAGATATCTAGCTGGAGCAGAATTAGGCGGTGGTAAATTCCTCGGACCAACATTTCTCGCCGTGAAAACAAGTGGATTGACATCTTCCGGTGGATAAACTCGCGTCCAAATCTTCGGTAGTGGAGATTGTTCGTCATCTTCAGAGCTCGAATCATCGCTCACAGAACCAGAATTTTCACATAAAATGTCACTACTTTCATCCCCACTGTCAAACTCGTTATCAGACATTTAGATCACGGCATATTTACAATCTCGAATTTTTACCTCTAAAAGTTCCGACGAGCACCCCCCCGTCCCGGTCGATTCCCCGGTCGATTTGCACGATACACTGGTCAGTCGAGAAGGTCAAGTACCCAAGTACAAAATACTTTTCAGCATGAGGCAGTCGGCAGTCATGAGAAATAGCCTGACGTCAATGTTGGGCTACCTGTGCTATATTTGGTTGTGATGTAATGGATTATATTGAGTACAACGACGTCATATTTTGTGTTTATTTTTAACTACGGACGCCATCTTGGATTTAGTATATAGAGATGCACGAGATGCACCTTGTGTGACACTTGACATTCAGTTTCTCAGCGGCGTACAAGACTGAGGTATATCAAAAAACRTGTTAGTTAACCATGTCTTTATTGTGCTTGAAATCTGAAAGTCAATAAAACGCAAAMAGAAGAAAAATATGGGAATTTGTAAGCAAACATTTTATCTTCTGAAAAAGAACTTTCAAATCAAAAGGCGACACAAGAAACTGACAATTCAAGAGATTATYGTTCCCATTTACTGGCTTCTTATTCTCGTTATTATCAAATCRACAACAAAAATCGATGAGAAACCTGCAATCGATAGCAAAGATATTCCAAGTCAAAATCTAACAGTTCAGCAAGCCAGGCCGAATGGTCTCGGAAAYACYACCACCAAGTTACCTTTAGTTGCTATTGTTACTGACGGCGATCCAAAATGCGAAAAAGTCGTAGCAGAGCTCAAAAATGTCACTTCATCTAGAACTAACTATATTAGATTTAATACTAGTGACGATATGGTGAATTATTACAAGGAACATGGAGAAAAGAGCAACATGGGCTTAGGGTTCGTATTTCAGAAAGAGAAAGCTAATGGCATCTCGTATACAATGCATATAGCTGATGGTATTGTACCAAAGCTAACGACTAAAACGGTCAACAGAGGTAAGTAACTGTGTACAGCTGACTGAGTGCAGYTTTAGCGTAATTGTTTTGATTTTATGGACATTTGATTCATTCGACCTTTTCTACCCCAGCAWTTAAATAGACTATCGYGATTTTTGTGGTGTCGTAATTATACATTTTACGTCTGACATGCGATATTTGACACWTGTTAGTCATGAGTCACTGAAGCAAAACGACTGTTTAAATTAAATTTTGATAATTCTGGTTCAATGGTCATGCGTTAAGGCTTCCAGGGAATAAAACAGGTAATCCGAGGTTTCCCCTAAGCTGACGTCTACAATTCTATTTTCCATTGTTAAGTTATGTTCAACAAAAATGTTGAACATGACTACTAATGATATATGTTTGAACTCTAGGCTTTTGTCGTGATGTGAATAATTTCTACCAGAACTGTCCAGCATTCCAGTATGTTTCAAGAAATATTGCATCCTTGCAGTCTGTTGTCGACTCTGTTATCTCTAAGGTATTCAAAAAAAATGTTTTATACAGTATACAAAACATGGTAAAATTGCTGATAACAATGATAATAACAATAATGATGATAATGATGATGATGATGGAATCCAATCTTTTTTTTCAGGTCTTAGCAGACCTGCCATATTTTGTTGTGCCAAACATCAGCATCCAAATGATGCCCAAAGGAAAATTTATTCCAGGTAATCCCTTGGAAACAACAGTCCCTATCTACATGGTACTGGCATTTGCACCCTACATAACCATCCTCTTGATCAACCTTGTCGACGAAAAAGAACAGAARCAGAAAGAATTGCTGAGGATCATGGGAATGTACGACACTGCCTACTGGTTGTCATGGTTTCTGACCTATGCCATCATACTATTCTTTGCATGCCTGATCATAAATGCTATCGCAATTCCTACAGGATTATTTGGTGGTAGTAATTTCATGGTCATGTTCATTGTTTTCTACTTGTTTTCCATATCACTCATCATGTTTGCATTCATGCTCACGCCATTGTTTAAGAAGTCTATGACAGCGGGTGTAGTTGCAAATTTGAGCACTATCTGTTTTGGGGTACTCATTATCCCATTGGGGCTACCCAATGTGCCACAGTTTGGGTACTGGCTGGGATGCTTGCTATCACCTACAGCATTTGGATTGGTATTACGTCAGGTAGGTTTAGATTACTGGTGGGTCGTAGCTGTGATAATTATGATCATAAATGGCAGTGGTGCGATATTAAAAAAGATCATCAATTTCTGAAGTACTGATTAAAATCAGAAAGTACAGTTTTAAATCAGCAACTTATTGCTATAAATATTTTAATGTAAAAAGGATTCAAAACTTTGAGGTAAAGGCTATAAAAATATATATTATTTAAGTGATTTTATGCGTTTACGATAACAATATATTTATAATAAGCCATTTGCATTATGGCATAACTTTAATACAACTACCAGAGAGCATTGCACATTTTCATTTTTATTCAGATTTTTAATCCCCTTGGAGATTAATTAAAACAATTGGCACAATTGCATTACAAAAGAAAGTTGGCAAAGCATTCTGGTAGTTGTAGTAAATGATGCCATAATGCAAATCGGCTATTTCCATAATTATTCATTGAAAAAATGTTTTTCTATTTAGGGTGTAGATGCTACAGGTTTACACTTTGATAACCTATCCACCAAAGGAGCCTTTCCACCAGCCTACGCCATTGCAATGATAATTGTAGACATTTTCTTGTATCTTCTACTGGCCCTATATCTTGATGCAGTCATACCGGCAGAGTATGGCAAAAGAAGGCCTCCCTACTTCATCTTCACAGCATCATTCTGGAAAAGTGTGTTTTGTGAGAGTTCTGATAAAAAATGCCATGAAATGAAAAGACAGTTGTCAGCTAGAGGAACGCAGGAKAATATGGACGATGTAGAACCAGTTGGTGATGARATGATTGGTAAAGAGGCCATAAGGTACTCAATATCATCAACTAATGATAAATGTAATAATATCATTTCACATGAACAAATAATGCAGAATTATGGATTTAGTTGTAAATGTTCTATCAGCACGCTGTTGTCTTACTTTAAATCTCTAATATGATAATTATTTTCGCATTTYCATCTGTTCATTTTCTAATGATATCTTTACTTACAGTATTCACAAACTGAGGAAAGTGTTTCCTGGAAAGGAAGAAGTCATAGCAGTAGATGGTAATGTCAATCAGCTTTTATCATAGTTTGTTGTTGCTACTGTCGTTGTTGTTTTTATCTGGAATAAGTCCATTTGTGAATGATTGTGTGCAAAATGTATTTAAGATTACTTGTAGTACTAGCACTGAAAGCCTTTAATTTCATTTGGCAGGGACATTTGCTCTTTGTTACAGAGRTTTAATTATTATGACATCCTTTTTTTATTATTCTGAAAATATTGAATGCAAGTTAAACTGTAATATACTGTACTGTATGAAACTACTAGAAGTATAGTAACAAAAAAGCTACTTTTACTCCTACAGATGTTTTTTTCTAATAAATGCACTTTACCTGAGAAATGTTCTTATATTTACATTTTTTAGTATTAACTAAGTTCCATTGTATAGACTTCAGCATGGATATCTATGAAGGACAAGTGACAGCATTGCTGGGTCATAATGGTGCAGGAAAGTCAACTCTAATAGCTGCTTTAACTGGCATGATTATGCCTTCCTCTGGAACAGCTTTGATTTATGGCAAAGACATCACTGATCCTGAACAAATGATTCAGATACGCAGAAATATCGGTATGCCGTGACTACAACTTTTGTCAAACTTGTTTTAAATCATGGTACATATTTAACATTAATCACATATTTATTTTCTAGTTATGAGTGTTGGTTTACATTAATTTTACTGATGTAAATTATAGTCTTTATAAAATGCCTACCAATAAAGTAATTGAATAGGGTATTATATGATGTGATAGTTGCCTGCTCAAACTGGATGTTTAGGAAAACATTACTTAGTATCCAAACAATGCAGTTCAAGGGCAACTGTGAAGTTTTGAGGGATATCCAGTTTCCAAGGTTAAGTTTTATCCACTAGTTTATTTCTGTAGATTTGGTCATTGACATTTTCTTTTCCAGGTGTTTGTCCTCAACAAGACGTGATCTTCAATTTTATCAGTGTGCGTGAACACTTGGAGTTGTATGCAGGTCTGAAGGGCGTTCCYGGTGATGAGATCAAACCAATGGTAGATGAGGTTATCAAGGATATTGACTTAGAAGGCAAGGCCGATGATATTGCCAAGAACCTTAGTGGYGGACAAAAAAGAAAACTTTGTGTGGGAATTTCGTTGATGGGAAATCCTAAAGTAGGTTTTGTTAGAGTTTAATATGAAAAAAGAAGTTTATTCAAGAAGCTATTTTGCATTGACATACACTTTTTGTTTAACATGTGGTTACTTAAATTATGGTACATTTTACAAACAAGTAGACAAAACAAACAATGGTATATGATTTTATAAAATTTTTGATATATAACTCGTGTTCTGATTGGCTGATGACCGTGTTTATATCATGATCAGAGGACAAACACACAGCTTAACGGCAAAATTTGTTTTTTGCTCGAAAAACAGAAACATTTTATAAAAGAACTATGAAACATCCTCTTGTGTCTCTGTCTGCTGATATAAACACGGTGGGAGTTTAAAAGCACTCATGAAGCAAGAGAAACCCTCGCTATGCTCTAATTGTTTCTATGCTTGCTTCTCTTGTGTTTTTCAACTCCCAATGTGCTGTGTTTATATCAGAGGACAGAGACATGCACACGATTTTATATTTCTTAAATACTTTACTGTACTGATCATGAGAACTCTACGTCATGCTACTGCTTTCTATTGAAGAATAAATATAAATTACATTATAACACAGTTGTAATAAAATGCAATTTATACTGAATGTACAGCACTTAGTCCAGTATTCATCAATGTAGCTGACAAGAGTGTTTGTTGAAAATGATACATAATGCCCTAATTGCTACAATGTTCATCTAAAAGGTTTTATTTCTGGATGARCCAACAAGTGGTATGGACCCATATTCCAGGCGCAGTATGTGGTCATTGCTGCAAAACAAGTCCAAAGACAAAGTTGTGTTATTGACAACCCACTTCATGGATGAAGCAGATATTCTTGCAGGTTTGTTTGTCTATCAATCAAGTTTTACATTTTTAAGTATTATTTAACATTTTACATTCATCTTTKATAACTCAGYTAATAATATTGTAATATTGATAAAGTAGAAAAAWTGATTYCTAGAAAAATAATTATGTATTTCTAAAAATAAATGAATCCTCTGCGTTTACTAGTGATATTTTTAATATTATATTATATTTGGTATTAAATATATCACTCGTAAACGCAGAGGATTCATTTATTTTTAGAAATTATGCCTGCGTACAATGAAATTCTAAAAATTATGTATTTATTTCTAAGACATTAGCCACAATAAAACAGAGATTATACCAAGAGTTGTACATGATTGTTTTCCACAGACTACAAAGCCATAATGTCAAAGGGCAAGTTAAGATGTGCTGGTTCATCTCTTTTTCTAAAGAACCGCTTTGGAATTGGCTATCATCTCAAGTAAGAAGCTTTTTATTGAAAAGAAACTAATGAAGTCGTGGTTTTCATAAACCTGGCCTGGGAAGGACACTTGAGCACAGAACACTTGTTTATTGCTCTTAATTTGGATTATTTTGTTTCCTTGTAGTTCTGTTTTATTAAACTTCATTACACCTATTGTAATATTACATGAAAATAAGAAAAGAAATAAAATCAAAGAAAAAAAGGAACTATATTTATTGTTAAGCTGTTGCCTTTCAAGAAAGAGAAGACATGTGCCAATTAAGAATAAGTAATTTTAAATTCATGCAATTTTAAGCCCAAAACGTATTACCATGAGTTTGCTACTGTATGCATATATCTTGTTAAATAGTTTTTATTTGTCTCTGTCACTAGTATGGCCATATCGGAGGRTTGTGACCAAGATGCCCTGCAACAACTTGTAAAGAGTAAAGTAGAAGGTGCTGAAGTCATTCGTCATCATGGACATGAGTTGGCTTTCTCTCTGCCCATTGAGAAAGTTGGCACCTTTGCAGGTACAATTCTTTTATCACTTTTAACTTCTACTTATGAGTACTATATTTGTGATTCAGTAGGTAAAGTTAAGAACATAGCTCATGAATGAGGTTTGAAACTCACTGTAAGAGTTTCTTCAATGTAATCTGACTTTTCCATGCTTGATACAGTAATTGTAACTTCTCTTTCTGACTGTTACTTAACTTAGTTATTAACTTTTTGTTGTTGTTGTTGTTGTTTTGTTTTTTTGTTTTCTTTTTTAGCTGTGAGTATTCCTCCAAAAGCTCTGTCAGGGTTTCTAATGAAAACACGTCTTTTATTTTTGGTTTTCAGACCTTTTTGCAGCCCTAGAAGAAAACAATGATACCCAAGAAACATGTGCCGCATCTCAACTAGGAGTCTCCAGCTATGGTGTGTCCATGACAACATTAGAGGAGGTCTTCCTCCAGCTTGAGGACACAATGGAGAAAGATGATAATGATGACAACAACATCAGCACAGATGATGTTATAAATGTYAATACAGCATCATTAGAGGTGCTTGTTCCTGACGGCAAGGGCTCYCAAGCTAGTAATCTTCATCATACTGGGGTGGATCTTTGTAATCAGAAAACAAACAAGCTTACTGGTACAGCAAGGTACATGGGACAGCTACAGGGACTTCTCAAGGTAAGTGCTTTCATAAGTTTGGAGATGTACACATTTTATTTTTGTAATTGTCTTGATTGGCTTTGTTGTGAATGACATGGAGAGGAAGACAAGCAGGGTTTGATTCCCCCTTCCAAAATTCAAAAAGGAACTGGTGACTGGTCACAAAGTCGATACCGTTTGAAGCAATCAAAACACAGACTGCAATAATCGTTCTAGAGTAATTATTGTTACATTATCAAACCATGGCAAATATCAATCATCATCATCGCAGTCATCATCGCAGTCATCATCACAATCACAATCACGATCATAATCACCATCATTATCGCCATCATCATCACCATCATCATCATGTTAGCATGTATCTTAACAGGTTTTCTCTTGATTGACAGATCAACTGGCTGAATACAATTCGTAGCCCATTAAAAATCTTCTTCATGATTCTTCTTCCACCAGTCTTCCTTGTTATTGGTTTGGTTCTCATGAGAAATAACAGCTCGACCAGTAAATAYGATCTTTCTCCTGTTCAAATATCACCAAGCATGTACCTGACTCCTGGCAGCAAAGAGAATTATGCTGCGCCATTGCTGTTTCAGAACTCCACTAATGGAAATGTGGATGATATTTTGAGATTTTTGAAGGATTATAAAGTAAATGTTGATATGGGTTCTTTGAGTGCACACTTGGATAAGGCCAGTGGTAAAAAGCCTTTTTGGATTCTTGGTCTTGAAGCTCTTACRTTTCCCCATGTAAAGAACATGTCTTCCAATGTGAGTCTTTGTTGATTGTACAGATTTAGTAGAGAAATGTTTATTGGGTCATTAATTCATTTGCTTTTTTCTTTCATTCACTCTTTCATTTCTTTCCTTCACATATTTGACACAGTTAGCTTGAGCCACTTTACTTTTCTATCTGTCAGCTGACTTATTCCAATCATTTCTTCCTGTAACCCTAATTGCCAGTATACTATATGCATTGTTTTCCATTACAGYCCAAGTTGATGTCACATTTCCATCTGCGCTTCAATGATACAATGCCTCATTCCATACCGGTTGGTGTCAATTTAATCACCTCCGTCTTCAACATGTATGTCTTACAAGCCCAAAATAAAACGCCAYATGCTATCAAAACTACCTTCAAAGAACTACCAAACCTAAAACCTAARTGGACCTATGACACTAGTGCTTTTGTCTCTGTGCTTTTGATTGGAATGGGATTTGTGCTCTTTCCTGGTTCGTTTGCTATTTTAATTGTTGCTCAAAGACAGGTAAWTAATTGGTCTTACAGTYKGGTTTACATGGRGAAGGAGACCTATCAAATGAAGTTAATGARGCTGATAAWTTTTTGTCAACTCTTATCCTTGGTAWAACATCAGGGAAACATGTCTAAGTCAATGTKGGATTTAKAATCATTTCTCTGSCTGGCCTGAATGGTTTTGTTGTAAAATATTTAATTTTGAAAAGGCCTAATGTTCATGTAAACTGTCATTTGTTTATCCTTATTTTTTCTATTTACATTTTAAATTTTCTTCATTATCTTTCCTTTAGATGGGTGCTCGTCATCTTCTTAGAGTCTCAGGMCTACCATCCTTCATCTACTGGCTGTATTTATTTATCAGTGATGGTATATTGTTCGTTATTCCGACTGTGATCATGCTRATAGTCATTCCGCTGGCTGGCGTGTCWTCTCTTTCATCCAGTGTAGCAATGGGTTGCTTGGTTCTCAGTGTTGCCCTATATATCCCATCAGGCACCTTGTTTTCATATTGTTTATCGTTCTTGTTTGACAAGTGGGAGACGTGTCAGCAAGTGTTGCCATCAGTGTTTAGTTACGTAAGTGTTTCCAAACATGATTAGTTGTATTAACAACAATGCTCAATTTGATGTTTACCAGACACGATACATTTATCAGATTTTATTGGTTTGCAGGCTGGAATTCTTCCATTTGTTGCTGTGTCATTAGTCGACATGTTGGCAAATCCTGACGCTGCTATCATAATCCACTATGTCCTTTGCTTCATTGATCCAGTGTACTGTATTGTTGGGGCTTTGTACTATATCAACAGGGTAATGTTACTTTGTACTATATCAACAGGGTAATGTTACTTTGTACTATATCAACAGGGTAATGTTACTTTGCACTATATCAACAGGGTAATGTTACTTTGTACTATATCAACAGGGTAATGTTACTGTATTGTTGGGGCTTTGTACTATATCAACAGGGTAATGTTATTGTATTGTTGGGGCTTTGTACTATATCAACAGGGTAATGTTACTGTTGGTTTAATCTTTATTTTATTGTTATTATTGGTAGCCTACATTGCTTGCAGTCAGTGGCTTTTGGTGTGCAATTTTCTTCTTCCAACAATACTACAAACAGTCAACAATAAATGTCTACGTATTGCTGAAAAAATCAGCAATGCCATGTTGAACATCTTTGTTATAATCATAAGAAAAATTATTTTTCGCTTTCTTTGTCGCTTATATAATCATTATTTCCTTTCAGCATCATTTATAATGGTTTTGATTTTGATTGACAGATTYATTTGATTGCAACTCTGACAGCACAGTCCAATGATGTTACTATTCCAGCCAGTGCATACTTTACCTGGACAAAGTACAATGGTATTCCAGTAGCATTCCTGGCAGTAAGGAAACCAGTTTTTTAATTTGACAATTCATTTTGGCTTGTTTATCAATGGAGTACAGTTCATAAAAGTAGATACATGGTTTTGAAACAAATCTATTCTATGCAGATTCTGTTAACATTTATAATTATAACTTCTGGGGTTATTTTAAGGCATGTGCAGATTAACCAGTCTGTATTTACTCAAATGTACTTGATTATGAAATTAAGCTCTGTATTTTGTTATTTTACTTCTAGATGTTTTTACATTCGGTGATCTTTGGTTGTCTTCTTTTCTACCTGGATAAACGTAAAGCTGGAGTCTCATGCTGTAGGAGGAAGTAAGATTATTTACTGAATCAAATTGATTATGATACCTTAGTTAATGGATTGATTGGTTGATTGATGGATGGATTGATTGATTGATTGATTGACTGATTAATTGGTTGATTGATTGATTGGTTGATTGATTGGGTGATTGATTGATTGATTGTTATCCTAGTGGTGGTAATACTAGGTCAACTAGTCCCAGTCTCCATGGCACTGACAAAGAAGAAGATGTTCAAGCTGAAAAAGAAAAGATAGCTGCAACAAATCTGAGAGACTCATCCAGCAACTCTTACTCTGTAGCTGTCAAGGTAAACACAATATATAGACTTGCTCYCCTTTATTTCTTCATTTCTATCCCCTATTTTTAGCATTAAGATTTGAAACTATGTGTTCTTGCTGATTCTGACCTATGCTCTTTCCGTTTTTGGGCATTATTTGTACTGTAGCTGATAATCTAAGGCCTAGGTGTAGCCATATAACCCCAGCTGCAAGGGAACTATTTTTGTACAAATATATGTACAGTATCGTTATTGCCAGCATGGACTTGGCACATTTACTTCATTCATCAGTTCTTYGATAAAGATGAAGTTGTGATAACACAATAACAAGGCCTTCATTTTAATCTATATAGAMCTTACAATGAAAAGTACATTTTTCTTTATTTGAAGTGCAGTGTAGAAAAGATTATATATAGGTATTGAGATCCTTGGACACTGAACGCTGAATATTATKATTTTATCTTTTTTTATTCAACTTRTAAGTCTGTTTGTTTGTTATCAGGGYTTGTGGAAGAGATTTGGTGAGGGCAAAAAGCAGAAAGTGGTTGTAAAAGATTTGAACTTTGGAGTAAAGCCTGGTGAAGTGTTTGGTTTGCTTGGACCTAATGGTGCTGGGAAGACAACAACATTGAACATGATAACAGGGGCTATTGATCCATCTCGGGGACAGGTAGTTCTCCTACATCCATATTTTTGCTCAGTTAGTCAGTATTGAGTATATTGTTTGATGTTTTGTGTTATAGATGACTGTTGCTGGGTTCGACATGAGTTCGCATGCCTATGAGATATTCCAGCGTATGGGATATTGTCCACAGACAGATGCTCTTTGGCCTGACGTTACTCTAGARGAACACCTGATGTGCTATGCTAAGATCCGTGGTATTCTACCTAAAGATATCAAATCAACTGTAAACTAGTAAGTCTATTTAAACAATGGAGTATTTCAATCCAGGGTATTCTACACTGATATGTTTCCCTCAATGTTGAACTCTATGGCTTCACATGGTCGACTCTCTTGGACATTTGACAAAACAGCTCTGAACTCCTCTTCGTTTTAATCAAATGTGCTATCATCATGCCAACAGTTTTTGCGTTTAAASCTCGAGTCACTCTTTCACAAAATCCTCTGACCCAAAGTTAAGGTTATTGTTGTAGTTGCAGTTGYTGTAGTTGTAGCTGTTGTAGCTGTTGTAGTTGTAGTTGTTGTTATTGTTGTTGTTGCTATAATGAATTACGTCGTTCTTTTACAGCTTCATGTCAGCTATGAAAGTAACAGAGCATGCAAAGAAAAGATCGAAAGCTCTTTCAGGAGGAACAAAGCGCAAGGTGTGTTACACATCTTAATCATCAAAATTTGCTCACATTAGTTCTGCATACCAGTGTAGAGTTTTTGAATTTGTTAAACTTTAAAATGTCTATCCACGCTCCTTATTTCATTTTATTTCATGAGGCACTCATCTTCCTTAAGGATTTCATAATCATATTYAACTTTATCTTTTCAGCTGAGTTTTCAAATAGCAATGCTTGGTGGGCCAGAATTGYTGCTCCTTGACGAACCATCCACAGGCCTTGATCCTTCAGCTCGACGGTTCTTGTGGTAAGTGTTACGTACAAGTGGTGCAAGACTAAATAGCTCATGCTAAATATGATAGATTGGCTAATGGACCTCTATTGTCATGACGTCATGCTCGTTTCGGTGAAATGCATCATGGTATTGATTAAGAGATGGTAGATGTTCCATGAAGACTGTGGATGGTGTTTCTTAGGCCCATTGTCCATACATAGTTAATATTAACTATGGTCCATATAAGCAATCCTCTCGATAGTGGCAATCGCTCGAAAAAAACGTACTTTCGTTGTTCTAGTTTCCTCAATGGAATTAACCACAATGTATACATTTAGACCTTTCCCGAGTTCGAGGACACAATGCTTTAATGCAAAATTAATGTTATTCCTTGATGAGCATAAGTTAGAGTTGCACACATGTAGCGGAGCACTTTTAAAAATCCTTTTGTCCGACAAAGATAACCATATGGCTGAAAGAAGTCCATGAAACATTGCCCTTGCTTTTTCTAAAGAAAACATTCACTAATTCTTCATTGATAATAAATGTACAGGAATACCATCAGTAAGAATGTCTGTGGTGACCGTGGTGCCATCTTAACAACACATTCTATGGAAGAAGCAGATGCYYTRTCATCTCGTGTCGGTATCATGGTTAAAGGAGAGCTAAAGTGAGTTGGTGATAGTGCTACAYAATAATGTATCGCCCCTGTCTGATGRTGTTACTTTTATTGTCAATYCCAGGTGCCTAGGGTCTACACAACACCTCAAGAGCAAGTATGGTAGTGGCTATTCACTTGARATWAAGGTGATTCAAAGTAGTGATGGCCAGTCAAGTCTTGATGACTTTGTGAAAGGGCTRTTTCCTGGWGCCATACTCAACGAGACGTTTGGTGGAAAATCAACMTATAAAGTGCCTAATGATGACGTTTCASAGCTCTCGAGCATTTTTGCCAAGCTAGAAGAAGGTAAGAGCTGGTGATGCGTTTTGATGCGTTTTGCATTGTGTATTGGTTGGTTAATTGGTTGGTTCGTAAGTTGTTCCATTGAGTGGTCAGTTGGTTGGTTGGCTAGTTTGCTCGTATAGGAGTTGTTGGCTATAATTAGTTTGTTCTTGCAAGAGTGCTCAATGACCAATTTTCCTCAATTGTCACTAATTGATGTCTCCATATCATAAGACAAGTGTTCCCACGCTAATTTAAGTTAATTATTAACAAGCCTGGGATAAAATTATCCGCTCCCCAGTGCCAGCCAGATGAAATTTTGATATACCATTTCCCAACCAGCAAAAGCTTTTAAGCTTTTAAGCTTTTAAAAAAGCTTAGTTTCCCAGCTAGGATGGAGAATGATGATAGTTTTCCAGCCAGTCTAAGTATAAATAGGATTTCCCAGCCAGGAGTGATATGGCAAAGGTTAAACAGCTAGGATACGAAATTAATTTGGGCTGTTTGTTTGGATGGCTAATTGGTTGTCTGGGTCGGTTGATTTGTTGGTCATTCCTTGACGGTTTGCCGGTTGTTTACTAGTATTTGGTTGTCTTGAAGGTCGGTTGGTTGGTTGGTTGGTTAGATGGCTTTCTGGTCGGCTGGTTAGTAGTTTAAGTGCGTTGGTTGTTCAGTTACCTTGTTGCTCGTCTTGAATTTGTTTGTTTGTCTGCATTTTCTGTTAGTTCTTTCTTATTATTCTATGATTCAGTAGTAAATGTAATTCATGTGTTTAATCATTCATATTTCTTAGGAAAACAAACGGTTGGAATTGAAGAGTACAGCTTCAGTCAGTCAACACTAGAACAAGTAAGCCAGTGTTCCTTATATTCTGTAAAACCCTCTCTTTATTAAGCCTTTAAGTAGTGCTGGGTTCCCTGTATTGTTGTGCTTCATGCACTTAATTGCGTTATTGCCTTTGTTTGGCGCTTTGAATCATACTGGGTTTCATGTGGTAATTTCTTAGTCACAACGGGTTTCCTGTGTTTTAGGTCTTCCTCGAGTTTGCTCGCGARCAAGACGATGACAGGACTGGAGAAAATGACCATAGAGATGAACTCCCCCCTGAAAATGGCCCAGAGATGGCGTAAATCCGGTAGTGTAGAGTTTTTAATTAGTCAGGGAAAAAGCTAATATAGAGAGAGTAGTATCAAAAATCCGTGAAAAATCGACTTAAAATGAAYAATATAAAGGTAGCAAAGTTCATTTTTGCCTTGAATTTTGAGATTCAGTGTTGGAGTGTATATTTTTAGTTATTCTAAAGTCTGTGTAGTTGATCAAATGAAATGAGTAAATGCATAAAGAATTACAAACAAAAAATAAAATAAATAAATAAATAAAATTAAATCTACGAGCTGGTATCGTATCATAAAAAGTGATTTTACTTTTATAAAATTTATAATAATTTTATACATTAATACATTATACATATTTAAGAATTAATCAATAACGTACAATAAACACATATTTGATGATGTTATCCACTATAATTGTCTCGTCTTGACCTCCTTATTGGCTCATCTCCAAGTTGCTCAGYATATCCCAGCATGCATTGGTCTATCCAAGACTTGTGGTCAACGTGAAGTGTTCCTCCAAGACTCTCAGGAATACAATCCAAACTCAAATGTTTCTTTAKWGCTGATCGGGAGACGATTTGWATGTTTTTGTCTCGCARCAAAGTTGTGAAAAACTTGAGTTCTGATTCCACCCAAAACGGTGGGGAAATGATGAAGGTTTTWGTGAGGCGAACTGGATACTCGTCCTGCAAGAAAGGAGTAGTATTATGACGCATGATGTGACGTCATACCACTCGATCATCATTATCATCCAATAACATTACCAACCAGTACCACCATATATCATTATCAATACTACAGCTACGAGTGTCATCATCATCATCATCATCATATTGTATGCATCACCCCCATTATAACAAGAATTCATCATCATCACCATCGCTATCATCGGCGTCAATCATTCTTTGAGTGATAGTTTGTAAAGACGATTTTGTTTACCTTGAGCAATTTGATAATATTGACACACAGTTGTGAATCGCTTGTCAAATATGACGTATTGGTAAAGTCGTACAGTAGTACCATACCATTGATTTGTGTCTGTGGACTGTTATATCAATAACACTATTAATAATGGAAGATCTCACTCTAATAAAAGCGTCACCTATACGTTAATTTTAGCGGCGTATTTGATATAGTTCATGTCAATATCCGARTTTCAAGTTGTACCTTTTTAGTGCCTCGTCTAGTTGTAAGTAAACACTAGTCAACACAACGTTGTGCTTTCGTTCACGGGAATTTCGCTGAGCCATGAAAACAGCAACGGCTGCTCCGTTGTCGTTACGCTTATTCTAAAAAGGTAGAAAAGATTATTTCAAATAGTTTACAAGACGGCGGAAACGCAATACTTTTATACCAATCGAACATGTCTGGGTGCATCATGCGTCCCTCCCRCAAGTACTCCACTGTTTGCCTTATAAAATATATACTGCTTACTCATCACGAAATGTTCTAAATATTATTTCTCTTGATAAAGTTTGTACAAGTACTTACAAGCATTGTAAACCTTCCAGAAAAGAGTTCTTGCTTCAAAGGAGCTTTTGTCGGTGAGAAATCACTTTCGAAATACAATTTTCTCTGGACCTGAAAAGAGAACGATAACTAACTTACATTTTTCACACAGAAGCAGTAACTATCCGTTGATCAGCCTTCCCGCGTTCGTCACTACTTTAATCTTTGGACCACTAATTAATGGGGAATTATTTGTCTATCTGACTTAGATGTCTGTGTCTATCTGTCATCAATTAATCTTACCATGTACTTGTGGTACAGTTCTACTGCATCATCGACATCAAAATCTCTCGCTCTGAGAAACTTTACAACAAACGCAGTGCTGATTGGGCTGAGTTGAGATATCTCGCGATGTTGATTGATCTCCGTCATTGCAGCTTTTATCATTTGATTCTGCAATGAAATAAGAATCTTTCTAAGCTCTCACGCCACCCCGGGGCTGTCATACTAGTGATAACTACAGCGTTCAAGTTCATATTGTTACCTCCAGCTCTTCGTCTACTTTCAGCTTTCTTGACGTTATCCTGTGGATGTCATGGTGTGATTCTTGAAGTATTTCATCTTCAGATGCTGACAAAGGAAGATCGCAGTCCTGGTTCTGGTGATCATCTTGTGTATTTACCAAGGTATATTCACCCCTTGTGTCACTGGATTTGCGTGTTGTTGAGCCCTGTTATAAAGAATGATTAGTACTTTGATGGAAATTAACTGACTGGGACATTTCGAGAGGACTTACCTCATTTGGCATTCCTTTAAATGGTAATGTGTTCATAAGTTTCTTGAACAATTGACTTGAAGCGTCTTTGCCGACTGTGATGATTAAAACAACAGCAAATAGGTTAATCTTAATGATAAGCTGATATTTCGGTTGGAATTTAGATTATTGATTGATTTGACGGTATACCATTGTTGATTAGTATCTAATAATGTAAAGTATTGTTCTAATTATAAAAGATAAAAAATGACTTTAAAAGGTTTATTCAAACTTACCCTGAATCAAATCTTTTCTGTCCATTTTTCCCTCACGAATCTCAATGCCAGGAATTCCACCACATGCTTCATTGGTATCACAGGAAGTGAGTTTGGACAACTCCTCGTTTTTGGACAATGAACTAATTTCTTTGACAGGAGGTTTCTCCATTTTAACCGGCTCCTTGCTCGGTTCATCCTCCATCGATGTTACGCCAACCAGGTCTTCTTTGGAAAGMGGGATCGATGAACGATCTGGTTCCACGTTGCATTCGGTGAAAAGCTTCAGAGGTTGAATAGCTGACACAGATTCCTCYAACAGTGGGTCTTCCTTCGTTCGTGAACCAGCTTTCTCTTCTTTTTCAAGGATAATTCTTGAGCCACCTGTTTCTGACTTGGCTTGTGACCCAATTGTCGCTTCCCGCTCAGGATGAAATAATTGACGTGAGGAAAGATCAGTTTCGTGCGCCTGGTGACTCACAATCTGGGCTCGTGTTCCCTGGTAAAGWGTTGGGTCGTTGTCATGTTCAGAATGCAGAACCAAGTCATGGATGTCTCCGTCACCAAGCACAGTAGTGACTAATGAAAGTCGTTCGCGACGGCTTAAGGGAAGTCGAGACATGTCTCTCTGCGTAAAGTCCAAACACTTCCCTGTTACTTGGTTTATAAAGACTGCTTGGAATTTCGGATCAGGGACCCTTTTCTTGTCCACACGCTTTTCCTTCTTGTTGACATCAAGCAATGGGGCTGTAGGTTGTTGCCTTTCATCTCTACGTCTAGAAGTTTGCTCACTTCTTGTCCTTCTTGTTGAACCTTGGGTGTCACTCTGGACAGACGAATGTTTCCTCTTGGCTTCCACTTCATCAGTCTTGAGTAAGCTCTCAATCGCTTCTTCTTTGATCTCAAGAACTCCTGACGAAGACACTTTTTTGACTTTATGGCAAATTGATCCATTAATGTTTTTAACTGATTCCTCTTTGACAAGAACTGCTCCTGAAGGCACATCTTTGACATCATGGCTTCCATCGATGTCTTGATTGTATGGATCGATTCTTTCAACTTCACAAACTTTTAACGCGTCTTGTTTGACATCAATTAACTTATGTGACGATGCGTCAGTGTTGTGTGCTTGAAGGGCAGAACCCATGTGTTTTTCTTGTGCCTTGATCCGCGTTGCTTGGTAAAGCGTTTCGTCTTCATCATGTTCGCGATGTAGGACCAAATCATGTATGTCATTATCATCAAGAACAGTACTAACTAATGAAAGTCTTTCGCGTCGGCTTAGAGGATGACGGRTCACATCTCGATGAGAAAAGTCTAGGCATTTTCCTGTCACTTGATTTGTGAAAATCGCTTGAAATTGCTGATCACATAGCCTCGATCTCTTCTTCGGTATGTTTCGCTTCCCTTTGCTAATTGCCGAGGACTTGTCGTTGACCTTGATCACTACTTCAGGCGAGGTAGAGATACCCTTGTCATCGTCATCACTGCATTTAGGTGCTCCGTCGTCCACAACTTTCTCCTTGACAACTTCATAAGGCAACGTAGTGATATCCTTGTCACATTCATCACTCCTGTTGGGTGCTGCGTCAACAACGTCCTCCTTGACCAATACATCAGGCGCTGTAGAAATATCCTTGTCAGTGTCATCACTGTCCTTTGGTGCTGCGCCAGCAACGTCCTCCTTGACCAATACATCAGGCGACGTAGGAATATCCTTGTCACCGTCATCACTGTCCTTTGGTGCTGCACCAGCAACTTCCTCCTTGACCAATACATCAGGCGCCGTAGGAATATCCTTATCATCGTCATCACTGTCCTTGAGTGCTGCGTCAGCAACGTCCTCATTGACCACTACATCAGGCGACGTAGGAATATCCTTATCACCGTCATCACTGTCCTTGAGTGCTGCGTCAGCAACGTCCTCATTGACCACTACATCAGGCGACGTAGGAATATCCTTGTCACCGTCATCACTGTCCTTTGGTGCTGCGTCAACAACTTCCTCCTTGTCCACTACATCAGGCGACGTAGGAATATCCTTGTCAGTGTCATCACTGTCCTTGGGTGCTGCGTCAACAATGACCTCCATGACCACTACATCAGGTGACATAGGGAGATCGTTTTCACCGTCATCACTGTCCTTTGGTGCTGCGTCAACAACGACCTCTTTGACCACTACATCAGGTGACGTAGGAATATCCTTGTCAGTGTCATCACTGTCCTTTGGTGCTGCGTCCACAACTTCCTCCTTGACCACTACATCAGGCGACGTAGGAATATCCTTGTCAGTGTCATCACTGTCCTTTGGTGCTGCGTCCACAACTTCCTCCTTGACCACTACATCAGGCGACGTAGGAATATCCTTGTCAGTGTCATCACTGTCCTTTGGTGCTGCGTCCACAACTTCCTCCTTGACCACTACA